CAAAAAAATATACGTATTTTGGAAATGTTGAGTCGAATTAGTCTAGAATCGATTAATTTTATGAAAGAAAACCTTTCAAACAGCCGTAGTCCGTAAACTATGATTCCTACAAAATTGATTCATAAAGAACGGAACGTATCTACCGTCTTATAGGGGGATCTACTGTACACTCTTCAGAATTTATTTTACTGTCTGATGTTCTCATAGTCTGCATTATGTCTATTAGTGTTTTCAATGTTTTCTTTACTTTGATTTTGAATTTTACAGAATCTGTTTGTTTTTCTCTATTCTGGCAATTTGGTTCTGATCATTCTGTTAAAAATGAGCTCTACTGAAGAGATTCCTGTCATAAAATAAGGAGGAATTCTGTATACATGTAGAAAAGTCAGAAATACATCTTCCATAGTTGTTCTTTCTAATCTAGCAGATCTGAAGACTATGAAGAAGACTTAATTTAGTTGTTTTACTTGACTATTAGCCTTCAGCCAATAGGATGTGAATCATATTCTAATTCCCAGAGATTTCATTTCTGTTCTGAATACTTTAGATGTAAACTGATTACCATCATTACAATTGATAGTGAATAGCCAAAAGTAAATAAAACAAATGTAGCCAATTTATGCAGTTGCAGAGGAAAGAAATGTTACCTCAGTTCATTTTGAGAAGTAATCTAACAGTGAAATTATTTGGAAATGATTTGCAAAAATCTAAGGCTAGATGTTGCCATGGTCTATATACCTAGATGTAGGTATTATTATTATTAAAAGAAGAGGGGAGTCCTCCAGGTATCACTCAAAGGTATAACCTGGAGGTTGGAAAAGTTCGGAAGGAAGAGGGAGAGTGATGAAGGGTAGGGGATGAGGATGGGGTAGAATGAAGAAGAGGGACCCTAGATGTAGGTAGAATTATTGGTTCACACATATGATTGTCATCATTTATCTGGCAAGCTGGACAATCTGCACTAACTTTTAATACTTGTCTATTTTGGGCTACCAAACTTAAGTTTGGAGAAGTGCCTTAGTTTTAGTTTTTCCTCGATGTATTTTGTAAGGAGGGCGCCCTTGGGGTGAAACCACCGTGAGGATAGTCCCCCTTTTAAGGACGCGGTGTACCTGAATCTAAACTTGCATGGAGGTCGCCCTTAAGGTGAAAGGTTACGACCCTCGCTTTGCCCGTGATCTGTCAGGATGACACGACAAAGCCTTTTCTGTATGGGGGTCGCGGTTTCTGGACGCAAAGACTCACACAGAGACAGTATTTACCAATTCAACGTGTTTATTTGTATTGAAAATCATGCTTACAATGAGATACACCAACGTCTTGTCAAAAGTCGAGAAGCTCGCTGGATAGTTTGTTAGTTCATCGGATGATGGTCAGCACAGACAAAAAGAAGGAGAGAGTCCTCTTCTTAAGAGTCATAAGTAGAGTCCTGGAGGTTGGAGGGATGGAAAACTTGGCACTGGGAAGTCGAGTCCTAGTCCCTTCCGTCCGTTTCTTGGGAGATCTCTGGGTTATCACGTATTCGTTCTCTGGAACCGTCGCTCTCGATCACCTACTCGCAATTTCCCCGTGTCCTTGGGACTTTGGGCTTTTATAAACTTTTCTCACCCGAAATCCCGAGGTTTTGGTTGGTCCAAAAGTTGGTCCCCTGCGATTCTATTGGTCCCTGGTCTGTTGCCAGGGACGCAATTCGGGCCGAGGGGTCGCCAAAATGACCCTGTCCGGGCTGTTTCCCTCCGGAGTCGGGTCAAGCCCTTTCCCAGATGACGGTCCCGTAAATTGTCACCTAATGTCTATTTTTCTGTCCCGGAGAGGAGGAAGCTGTCTCAGCCGCCGCCCCCTTCACAGGAGTGTCAGCAGGACCTGCTTTGAACTCTCTGTAAGGTGACGTCCAAAGTTTTCCCGACGGTCGATCCCTCGATCGTTCTCATGATTGACGACTGTGAATCTGTCAATTAGGCCTGGAAAGCGACAATTAAATCGTCTCGCACCCCGTTCCTTGGTCACACCGATCCTATTTATGTAATAAGTCACCGATATATTGACTTTAGCTCGACAGCCAGTTTCCGTCCCAGGGGGAGTGTGTGGTCCCGGCCTCACAATTTCATGAGCTATATGCAGATTCCTTTAACACAAGAAAATGGAATTACTAAAAAAAATCTTGTTTCTAGAAGCAGCACCTTTTCAAGAAAGCTCTCCTCATAAATTTTTAAATTCTGTTGTTGCTTTATATCAATCACCTGTGCTAAATGCGCACTCAATTGTTTGTATTTCCTGATCCTGAAAAATTTAGATAAACCTACATTTCAAGTTCCTTCTGAACAAATGTCCTGATGGATAGTTTTAAACAGAAAAACATCTACTTTTGTGATTCAAACTCTACATTGGACAGAAAAGAATAAACCAAAAAAATCTTTGATCATATCTAACAATATTTACATTTCAGTTTAAAGCAATAAATTTTACATGTTTATTTAAAATTATATTGTCTTGCTATAATTATAATGGATGATGATGCAGTCATTCTGAATTAATTTAATTGTTTTATTATTTAATTTCACATTGGACTCATTCTTATTCTTATGATTTGAAAATAAGGAACTATATTTTATTTTAATCTAATATTATATAATGATATATTTGTTAAACTAATCATTTTATAATTGATTAATTTTTAAAAAAATTACAGACAGCAAATAATTTAGAAATAATTTGGAAAACTGTAAAAGAATGGGAAGAAAAATGCACTGAATGGAAGAAAATACCATTTTTAGATCTCGAAACATCAGAAATTGAAAAACAAACTAATTTTATTTTTTTAAAGCTAGAAAATTTTATGAAAAGTTTGGTAAGAAATATTAATTTTAAAATATAGAATCATGTAATGATTTGTAACTTTATAGTACAGTGTAACCTGGTTAACTCAAACTGGGATAACTTGAAATTGCATTTACTCAGTCATTTTTTTCCCCAATTGTCTAGCATAGGGATTTATTTGTGTGTTAAATGAAACTGTTTAACTGAAATGTTGGTTTTCATAAACTCCTGGAAATTTAATTTAAATAAAATAATTAACATTCATCTATCAAATAAACTAGTTAGAAACTTTCTATAAAGTGGGACCATGTATGACTTAAAATAAAATAAATATTTATAATGTTTATTTATGTTTATAATGTCATTAACAGCGGGTGGGGTGGATCACTTCCATACAGCATGTCTGATCTAGATACAGTAACTGCCATTTGAATCTTTTTTTTTTTAACATTTGTTTTTGTTTTATTTCATTGATGATTGATTTCTCTGACTAGCTTACATAATAAATAAATAGAATTTTGACAAATTAATTAAAAACAATTATAGTCCAATTCTATGTAAAAATGTCAATCTTTGTTGCAAAGTTTTAAAAATATAAGTCATAAAGAGTGGTATTTTTGTGATAAAAGATAAAAAACAGATTGATTCTAGGTGCAAAATATTTCAATTTAAAATAATCCTTACTAAACACTTAGGAGTGAACGGATTAACATTCACATTCAGGAAAGCATCTGTCAGTAGCTTATTTAACCATTCAATTAAGTATTTTCAAGTTTCTGGACAATACTGAGAGGTTTATATTGACACAATGATTTTATGTAATAAGACTCAGAGAAATACTGTATGGATAGTTTATTATGGGCCATCAATAAAACAACATACAAAATCTTGGTTTTTTACGTGAACCTCCATATCTCTAAACTTTTTAACTCAAAGTCTGAATTTTTTTCTTGTGATTGATTCGAGTTAACAGGTTCCACTGTATTATTAAAAGTAAAGAATTAAGTAAAACTAGTATAAACTAGAATATCACTGTAGCAATTTTTTCCATTTTGGTCAATTTTCATTTTGAATAGGTTTTAGTACTTTTTTTTTTTTAAATCTTTAAACTATACAAGTTAAATATCAGACACTTTCATTTTTATAGTAAAACCACTTTTATTATATATGTAAGAAACATTTTATTACTAGGATTCATCCAAAGTGATTTTGACTAAAGATGGGAGTATTTGAATGTAAGAAATGACATCTATTCTATTCTAAAAAGTTGTTATTGTTTCTGAGAACTTGTGCTACAATCAAGGTCAACTTGTTACAAACAAATGATAGTACATATGATTTGTTTTTAACAATGTATTAATGCTGAAAGACAGTTTTAAAATATACATCTAAATCTAAGGGTTTTTTATTTCAAAATTTTTTTTATTTTGCATAATTTAAGTTGACATTTATGCAAATGAATTGTTTTGTTTATTCACAGATGTAATGTTTTACAAACACACTAATTTACATGTCATTCTGCTCCTTATGTCTAAGTCATACTAACATCCTGATTGATAGTTTTTGAGATATCAGTTAATATGATTGTTATGCTTAACTTTTGGATACCAGTTTAATTAAATATTCAGTGATTTCATTATGATAACAAGTAATTAATTAAAATTTTGCTAAAAATAATTAAATAGTTTAATATTACAGGATGAAAAATGGGAGGTTGCTGAATATTTATATATTTCCATAACTAAATTCAAACCTATGATATTTATTGTAACTGATTTAAAAAATCCAGGAATAAGACCTCGCCATTGGACATCCATTCAAAATATTCTTGGAAGAGTGTTTAATTATTCTTCACCTAATTTTAACATATATGAAATGATTATTCTTGGAATTGAAAAACATAAACAAGAAATTACTGAAATTGTTTCTGCTGCTATGAAGGAATTAGAAATTGAAAAGGTAATTTTTAGAAATTTATTTAAAATGTATTTAAAGCTTTGAAATTATTTAGCAACATTGATTTTTATTATTGCAGAACATTTTAGTTATAATTATAAATGTACTATATGTAATTTTTGACAGATAGATAAAAATAATTCATGATGATGTTATTTATTAATTGTTTCTGAACTATGCATAAGTGCATCACTATCAAAACCAAGTATAGTAAGACCCTGCTTAACGGTGATTCAATATAGTGCGATCTGCTTGACGCTTAAAAAAACGCTCAAAATTTATGCTGATTCAAATTAATGCGGTATATCATTGAGTTGTATATAGTACGATTATTCGCAAACATTAGCAAAAGGTGGCAATTCGTTGTAGTGCTGTACTTTACTATAGGCTTAATTTGTTATACATATGTATTATCTAAGTGCACATATTTTGTATGTGTTATAGTGCACATATTTTGTATGTGTTATAGTGCACATATAGTGTTATATTTTTTCCAAAATTGCACAAAACAAACACAATTGTTTTGTGCAATTTTGGAAAAAATATTTGTTTTGTGCAATTTTGTTTGTTTTGTGCAATTTTGGAAAAAATATAACATCATGGATGCCATAGGAAATATCAACTTGGCTTGGCAAAAATTAACTGATAAATGCATGAACAGAGTGTGGAATAAGTTATCACTGAAGGTATCCAAGAATTCTCATCAAGAAGAGCCTATTGCTGTATTGTTAGGTTGACAAAATTGCCAACTTAATCGATACAGGAGATGTAGACAAGCAGGATATTGGGAGTTACTCAGGTTTCTAGTAAGAGCCTTATCAACTATGACTTGAAGAACTGGCAGAACAAGGAATTCATGTAGAACTTGAAAATAGAGATCCTGAAAGTGAAGAATCCAAAGAACTTGCTACAGATTCCTTTAGTAAAAGTTTGGTAATGATAACCATTCATTCATTCATTCATTCATTCATTTAGATTTATTAATGTAACAAGGTTATATGACCTGATGTCGCAAATGCATAATCAGGTATTATAATACAATACATTTGTTAGTTGGTTTTACAAACATAAAATAACAGTACAGTATCGTTGTAAAATTGCAGGTATATGTTTTGATTTTACATGACAATTCTTGATAATTAAGTACATTTGTTGATTTACAAACATAGATAGTAATAACATGGATAATACTATGTACTAATAGCAATTGGTTGACACACAGAAGTTAGCAAGTCTTTTTACAAGAAGAGTATTACAGATGTTTTAAATGCTGAGTTATATATACAAAGTATAATTAGAACATACTGTTACAAAGTATAACGATAATGTTACAACAGCTGATAAAATAACAACAGTTTTCTGTAAAACAATTAATAATAAAGCATAAATGCTAATATGTAATATATTAACAATTAAAAATTAAATATTAAAAAATCAAAAATCAAACTCATGGCAAAGAAAGTGTCTAGAACAGCAATGTTCCAGTTGATAGGAAGATTTTCAATCAGTCTTTGAAGAATCTTGTATGAGATTGTTATGTAAGAAAGCAGAGTAACACATATGAGACTGTCACTGTGAACTTTTCATAAGTCCATGGGTATCCTCAGCACCACTAAAGTCTGTGAGTGAGAAGAGCTGCAAAAGTTTGAGGGTGTCCTTAACACCACAAAAGTCCATAAGTGAGTTGTACCACTTGAAAGTCCATTGGATGTCCCTAAGCACCACAAAAGTCCTTGAATGATTTGACAAAAAAGAAAGTGAGACCAAAAGTTACAAAACTGCACAGGAAATTGTAGGTCAAACAAGCAGGGGTTATGTTGTATGAAATAATATTCCACCAGAAATACATCAGTGAAAGAGAAGGATTTTATCATTAAGAAAACTCAAAGGATTGCAGTAACTCGAAAATGTTTTTCAATTAATTGAAGAAGCAAATCATGAGATTCTTTGTCTACTGTAAGCATATGGGCTTCAAAGGGCAAAGAAAGATTTTTGCTAATCATGTTAGTCTGTATATTGTTTCTTTCACATTCAGTACAATCAAATATATAATGAAGACTGCCATCAGTTGTATTGCAAACAGGACAAAGGGGACAAAGGTTATTGTTGTATATAGTAAAGTGAGTTAAATATGAGTTAATATGCTTGTGACCAGTATAAAATTGAACAGTTTCGTGATTAACAACAATCCAAGTATTATGTATAAGTTTAAAAATCTCAGGAAAAAATAGTTTGGTACAAGACGTGTTAGCGTTTCAGTCATGCTGCCATTCCAGAAGCATTTCATTTCATAGTATTTTTTTAACTCTTTGGTAGAGATTTTATTATAACTAATAGCAATATTCTCATCACCAGCTGCCAACCTGGCAAGTTGGTTGGCCCAATCATTCCCCCTGTCAGCAATATGTGAGCATATCCAACTGAAGTAGTATTCATTGTCAGAGTCAATTAATGTTCATAGAATGGTAAAGGCTAGAGGATGAGTAGACTCTTTCCTGAGCATTGGAAGTGATGAAAGAGAATCTGTTACTATAGCAATTTTAGCATTATTGATGACTCCTTCACACCAATCAATAGCCTTCAAGATTGCAAAAAGCTTGGCCTGTAAAACATTACAAAAAGCTGCAAGGCAGAAAACATTATAGTAAATCTCAACATCATTATGGTAGACTATGAAGCTAGCCCCAACTTGACTTACACATTTTGAGCCATCCGTGTAGATGATAATAGCGCAGTTTGTAGGAGAGACTCCGTTAAACCTGGACTTAGTGTAGGGGCTTAAGGTACATTCGAAGGGTATGTTTTCTTCTCAAGATTCTGCGTCAAAGACATTTGACAGTGTGGCAGGATGGAAGCCACATTTAATTTTCCATATCCTCTGCACATGAGTGATGTATTTATCAATTGGTGGTTTACGAGCAAGTACTTGCAGACTTGCAGTTGGGGGGTTCTGTATGCTTTTGTAATTAACAGTAATGCTTGTCGCTGAGCTGAGATTAATTTCTGCCACAGGTGTACTATTTCAACTGCTGCACCCAAGTACCACAACCGTATGCAAGTGCAGGTATAAAGATACTATCGTATATTGCGCTCATGGCTGTGCTATCAAGACCCCAATTTGATCTGGCCACTTTGGCAAACTCATGCGTAATGAATCCTGTGTGCTCGGTGATGTGCTGAATATGTTTGTTCCATAAAAGTCGATGATCGAGTATGATTCCAAGATATTTAAGGTCTCTCACTACCGCAATATGTTGTTCATACGGAGAGTTGGAACACATGTGTATACATTATGTTGTCTGGGCTTGTTAAAAACAATTGCCTTGCTCTTTGTAACATTGAAATAGAGCTTGTTTGTTACCCCCATTCATGAATCAATTTTAACGCTTGATTTCCCTTAATTCCTAAATCCACACATGATCGTCCCCCAATAAGGACATCTCTTATAATCCCCCAATAAGGACTAAGCATAAAGGTGATGAAAACCCAGGACTACTCGTAAGTATTGCCTGGGTGTGAAAAGAAAAAAGGAAAGGAATTAAGAGAAGAGGCGAAGGGGAAAAGGAAAGTGAGATAGGAAAGGGGATGAAAAGGGAAGTCCCAAGAGCATCGGCATTTATTGAATATAAAACAATAAGTTACAATTATTTACATTGAAGACAGGCTATTTGCCATACAGTGATTACATAAAATACAAATTGGTACTGACATGTATGAAACTTTGTATACAGTCGACCCCCCTATAAGATCGTTGATTTTTCCGTTTTATCTGAATTACATGTAGTACGAGTCACTTAGATTTTACAAATATGTGAGCCGTTCACAGCCCGGCACACGTATTTGTAAAATCTAAGTGACTCGTACAACATGTAATTCAGATAAAACGGAAAAATCAACAGTGTTATAGGGGGGTCGACTG